AGCGTTGTTATAGGGTGTTGTAAAGGTTGTTACAGTATGTAATGTTAATGGTATGGTATGTAATGGTAGGGGGTATGTGATTTGTGGGTACTAAACTGAGGGGAAAAACAACTGGGAGGAGAGCCTCCTTAAATACACAAAGGTGAGGGATTTTAGCTTCAGGGGAACAAGAGAATGAGAGATTTTAGCTGGCCAGAGCTTTACAATGAGGGGATTTAGCTAGTCAGGACATGTACATGAGGTATTTTGGCTGGTTGAGCAACCTACATGATGTAATTTGAGATATTTAAGATAGAAGAGGCAGTGTAGATGAGGGGTTTGTGCTAGCCTAGCAATCTGAATGATGTCATACAGACTGCATCAGCTATCCTGACAGCTGCAGGAAGATTATCACATGACCTGACAAGCTGCATATGCTGTACACCTGACCTGACAGGCAGTGTAAGCTGTGCACCTGTCAGAAGATTATGATGTCATATGGTTACCTGCGTCCTGTAGTGAAGTATTTGTGTAATTTGTGTTGTGTAGTTGTCCTGTGTGGTTGATTGAGTTTAATTGAGTGTTGTACATATCCCAAGGTGTGTAACATCCATACCAGTAGAGTTACAGAGATGCCTCCTGTGGTGACCATGGGTGAAATGGGCCCTAGAGTCCATTTCTTAAGTTGTAATGAGTTTTAGATGAGAGGAAATATAAGAAAAAATGATAATGAAAAGAAAAGACTGAAAAATAAATAACAATAAAAAAACTTTGAATTTTTACACATTCAGCTACCACAGCGGGTGTAAGTTCCCGGTCAAAGAGGACGTACCTCATTGATTGGAAGGAAACCCTTCCAATCAGGGAGGTACATCTGCCTCTTTGATTGGATGGGTTTCCTTCCAATCAACAAGGTACGTCCTCTTTGACCAGAAGGAAACCCTTCCAGTCAACAATGCAATGGCCCTTGTTGATCAGAAATTAGAAGGGTTTCCTTCAGATCAACAAGGTACATACTCGTTGATCTGAACGTTACCGCCCCCATATTGAGTCTTGACTGGAATGGTTTCCTTCTGGTCAATGAGGTACATGTACCTTGTTGACCGGAAGGAAACCCTTCCAATCAGGGAGGTACATCTACCTATTCAAGGATGTAACTTGTTGATCAGAAGGAAACCCTTCCGATCAGGGAGGTACACGGCCAGGTTGAGGAAGGATTTCCTTCCGGTCAACAAGGATGTACCTTTTTGATCGGAAGGAAACCCTTCTGATCAAAGAAGCACATTGCCTTGTTTGGTCAACAAGGATGTACCTCTTTGATCTGAAGGAAACCCTTCTGATCAACGAGGGTCATTGCCTTGTTGACTGGAAGGGTTTCCTTCCGGTCAAAGAGGACGTACCTCGTTGAGTGGAAGGAAACCCTTCCAATCAAAGAGGTATATGTACCTTGCTGATCGGAAGGGTTTCCTTACTGTCAAAGAGGCCTCGTTGACCGGAAGGGTTTCCTTCATGTCAAAGAGGCCTCATTGACCAGAAGGGTTTCCTTCCTGTCAAAGAGGCCTCGTTGACCGGAAGGGTTTCCTTCCTGTCAAAGAGGCCTCGTTGACCGGAAGGGTTTCCTTCCTGTCAAAGAGGCCTCGTTGACCGGAAGGGTTTCCTTCCTGTCAAAGAGGCCTCGTTGACCGGAAGGGTTTCCTTCCGGTCAAAGAGGACGTACCTTGGAGTATTCCGGGATCAGAGGCCGTTTAGAGATGGTCGCTCCACATCCGAATATCCGCGCGGATGCAGATATCCGGCTGCTTTTTCCGGCAAAATGGCCATCCGCACCCGCTGGGGGTATCTGTCGGCCGCAGCAGGTATTGGAGCGGGTATCCACGGATACCCACCCTTTAAAGGGCCAGCAAGGGACCGGCTGGAAGGAAACCCTTCCAGCCGGCAAGGTACATGTACCTTGTCTACTCAAAGGATTTACTTAAGGGTGTCTTTCCGGTCAACGAGGTACAGGTCGATGAGGTACGTGTACCTCGTCGACTGGAAGGGTTTCCTTCCAGCCAGCAAGGTACATGCAGCCAGCCTGATACTCGCCAGTGTTTTGCGGAAAAGGGGCCATCCGCACCCGCTGGCGGGTATCTGCCAGCGGATAGGAATCAGGATACCTGTTGACCATCTCTAAGGCCGTTCTCCCCTGAGCAAACAAGACACCCCCAGAGGGATCCAAGCAACCACCAGACCCACATTTGAGTGTGTATCTCGTGTTTGCGCTGTTCCAGGGTGAGTGGGAGGTGTCAAAAATCTTTTAGGAGATCTTGTGAGTGAGTTCACGGGGACAGGGAAGGGAATCTGTGCTGAGTGTGCAGAGTGAGGAGGAGGGAAGGAGAAAAAGAGGGAAAGGAACAAGGCAAGGAGGAGAGAGAAAGCTAGACCATGTAGCAGATGGTCTCACTCCTTCTGCTCCCACTCCCATTAGTCTAAAGCCTTAGCGCCCCTATGGTGGCAGGCTTAAGCCATAGTATATGCCTAGGGGCACCATGGCTTTAGTAGCACGTGGTCCTGTCTCCCATGGACATGCTACAACTCCCCCTGCAGTCCTGTCACCTCTCCTGTCAGACACTGAGACACTTGTCCACGTGTCTATATAAGATTTAACCCCTCCAGGTTACATAATAATAAATATTATTATATTTATTCTTTAAATTAATAAGTATTTATTTAATGTTATTCTTTAAATTAATAATGATTCACCTCTGTACATATCTATCTCTCTCTGGATAATTAATGTACCTCTCTCATGAAAATAATAATCAAATTGCAAAGGATAATTATCTCTTGTGTTTATCCAAGTGATTATCATCCTGTTTATCTCTCTTGTGTATCTCTCTTGTGTGTCTTCTGAAATAAGAGAGATATTCTACATATATATGTAATTCTATTTTCTGAAATAAGAGAGATAGTCAACACATGTACATTTGCATGTTTGAATATCTTGACACTTTCCCCCAAAGGAATAGTGTAACAATAAGGGGACTGCACTGGTTCAACAGGCAGCCTGAACCCTGCCTTGCAATACTTAAGGGGAAGGCTTTCCCTCTAAGATTCCTTCCCCCAGGGATTATTGCCATACAAACCCGTGTGCCTTACTTAATATTAGTGAGTGGGGTTTTAGCAGTACACTCTCCCTTTTCTCTTTACCTTCCATCTTTATCCTTATTATACTAGCCTAGACTACAGTTAAGTCACTACTGTAGTCTATAAGAGAGCCTCTTTTGATCTGCTCTAATCTCGGTGTGGCGATGCTCATTCCACCATCATCCCCTCTAACCCACGGAGCTAACCCCTCTGCTTTCTAGCATTGAGGTGAGTTTTATTTCCACTGGCCACCTCTATGGCTATAGTGTGACCTCAGGATGTAAACGGGTTGGGTTTGGGCCGCAAAACAGTACCTGAACCTGACCCACTAAGCTTCCGGGTTGGGTTCAGGTCATGTGATTTTCTCACAAAGTCTGCCCAAACCCGACCCATGACCCGTTGGGTCTTGGGTCAGCTTTGGGTCGACCCAACCCATTTACACCCTGAGTGTGACCCAAAACCCTTTCAACTCCTGGTCACATAAGAGACAGGAGCTGACAGCTTCATACTTTGTTTCACAAGATGCCTCAGAAATGAAAACTAGGCTAAGGTGTGCAAAATGAACCTAATCACTTTTTGGCCTTTTTTAAACAAGTTATCCTTCATGATTCAATTTTGAACACCCTTCCTCTCTTGGACCTTGGAAAGTAAGGTAATTCTAATGGAAGCTGCTTGAAGACAATCATCTTCAATATTAAAAAATTGCATAAATTAACAATGAATTTGTCAGCGATGGGTTACTCCGAGGTGATGAGATCCACTCAAGGGAAGTTTACTGGAGCCGTCCAGTGGCTCCAAGTTGTAGAAAGATCTAATCCGGTCCACGGTGTTCACGCCCAAGCTGTTGATAAGTTTTTGAGAAGTGCAGGCTGAGAGTTCCGGACAGTGATGTGGTGATGTGAAGGGAACAGGCAAGTTTGAAGTAGTGATTTGTTGATGTATCTTCAAACTCAAGAGGAATGATTTGAAATAAAAGGTTTTTATTATTTTTGTCTCTTCTGAAAGTCTGGGGAACAATAGACTTCAGTCCGTACACTTTATATATCCAGCTTGGCAAGGACAACTAGATACAAGCATATTAGAGTATGTTAATGATGAAATGAGTGAAATGAATAAGAACATGAGTGAAATGAGTGTGAAATGTATGAAACACCGGTTGGTGTAGCAAAACATCAAGTCAGCTAGTTAAGGGGTAACTGGGTTTTGCTTGCCAGCTGACTGAATTGGAAGTACAATTTTGCTCAATAAAAGGGGAAACACATGCACAACCAATGGGATTCAAGATTCAATAAAATCCAATCAAAGTCAGAAGGGAAGGACATTTTTTGGTCATTTACATATATCCTAGTGCAGCAAGAGGAGGAGCTTGTACTATAAGAGGGACCAAATACAATTCTGAAGAAGACAAGGGTGATGAGACATTCCCAGGAAACCTGACATTCAACAGTAAAGCTGCTGTGGCTGCTGGCATCTAGTGTCTCAAGAACAACTCAAAATTCCTATTATCTTCAACTTTGAAAAACACCACAGAGATCTAATTTGATTTACAATATGAATTTCAAATACTTCTCAAGATGCCACATTAACACCTAGGAGTTTGCCTAGGGGATCCCCAGCTACTTACTGAAATACTGATCTCATGAGATGTTAGATACTATTCAAGAGGGTGTAATTATTTATATCTGCAGTTTTTTGAGGATTGGGGAGGGCAGAAGTAAGGAACTCTCTGGTGTGGGTGGCTCTGGAATAAGAGTGATGTTGTGCTTCATGAGTTGTGACTTCTTTCCCTACAACTTTGCCTTTTGTGTCCGCTCAGAGAATAACACTTTTCACGCTTCTTAAACACACACAAAATTAGCCATTTGGGCAGCAGACTGGCTTTTGAGGGATAATGTTGTTTTTGTTTCTCACTACCATCAGGTTAGGTTAGCCGACTTATTCGGCGTCCATGTATGTTTCTGTTAATTGTCGGTTATTGTGTTCGACGAGTTGTTCAGTTTCTTTCGTTGGATCGTTTGACTACTCTCATCGATCATGAACAATCCAGTTTCTTGCTACCGACATACAAGCGCCTAATGCCAGGGGCTCACGGCAAACGTGAATACCTCATGCGCAGGGTGCATGATGGTGTGACAGCCTGTTCGGCGAGCACCCCAAGGCCGAGCGAGGCAAAGAACAGAAAATGTAGCATGGAAGTGCAACAGATGTGCAGTATTAAGTTAGTTGCAGTAGGCTAAACATCGTACTGATAGTCAAGAGAACGCTCCAAAAAGTGATGATAATAAAGTACGGAAGGAGAGAATAGGTAAAGGTCCACATCGGATTCATTTAGCTGTCGTCATAAAGAAGGAAAAGCAAGATGGCCAAGATGGTGATCAACTGAGACTGCCTAGAGACAGAGTGCCACTAAACCGGAGGCGACCGCGACGAGGAGTCCAGCGGTGGAAACTTTGGCACCAGGAACAGCTGCTGCCTTCGAAGCCGAGAAGGTGCCCGCATTAGATGAAGGGTTGGAGGTCGTGTTAGTGCGGACAGGCGAGGTATTGGGGGAGCTTGTGGAGGTGGTCGGAGCGGATGCGGCGGGAGGAGTGACGGTGGCGGTGGTGTTGGGCTTGACACCAGCTACGGAACAGTACTGGGATGATTGGGCTTGGTATTGCTTCCCTTGGTCGACGAGCTCGGCACAACCGTTGTAACACGCGGCAATGTTGGCATAGGTCCTGACGAAGGGATGTGGTCAGTGGGTGATACTAACTTGACCAGAGAATTAGCTCGGTGCTTACTGGCACAAGCACACGTTGTCCGTGCAGCTAGAAATATCCTTGCCGACCTTAGTCTGTCAATTGCAAAACAAAACGAATTGGATCAGATTCAGTATGAGGTATGGATTTAGGAAGTAAAAGCAAAAAGACGTACGATGCACTGGTTGAGGTTTTGCTGGGCGGATCCACAGGTGGTCCCACTGACGGTGACAGGCGTGAAGTTGGTGGGAGCAAAGGTAGAGCTGGAGGCGGCGGTGGAGTCGCTGGGCTGAGCGGTGGTGTTGCTAGAGGACGTGGCACCAGTGTTGTTCGTGCCAGCGGAGGCCGTAGTGTTTGTGCTCTGCGCAAAGATGGCAGGCAAAGTTACCAAGGTAGCAATCAAGGTCGGGTTCAACATGTTGATGACTTGTTTTGAAAATGTGTGAGATGCGAGATGTGATTGGGGGGTGAGTGCAGGTAAGTGCAGTAATGGACCTTATTCAGATAGATTTAATGGGTATGATAGGTGTGGATGGGAAGAGTGGATTGAGGTTGCGATTAAAGGACACTCTTTGGCTTTATATATCTGTATCCCCCCCCCTCTCGAGGGTTCCAGGCCTCGTTCCCTAGCAGGCCTGCGCGTGCGGAGATAGAGGTTGCACACTGTGTCAGCAACTGTCAAAGTTGCATGCTACATTAAACCCATGCTCGATCAGCAGGCTGCTGCTAGCCTGCTCTACAGCATTACGATCTCGGGCGAGCCGCCAAGCAAGAAGAAACTGGCGTGGTGTCCATAACTGTATTGTACATCTTTTGCAGAGTGAGGAGTTGGTCAGTCTGGTCCTGTCTGGTCTGTGTGCAATTCGAGATCGAACGAGAACCTATGGGGATACAGGGCATGTATAGCTGAAAACAGGTTTTTACCCGCGCACAGACCTGTCATGAGAATAATATAGCAATCTAGACACAATTCGACAAACATCAATACTTATACAGATGCTGGAGGAGTGTGAGAGTTAAAAAAGCAGACAGCAAAAAACGGGACATCCGGCCAACCCTTCAGGGCCACTGGCTCTAAATAGATCGCTTTGTATGTGCAACTGTTCTGACGAGTCTTGATATCGTCCTGGTCAGTGCCTCGTTGGTGAAGTGGTTCAGGTGATGGTTCCACTCGGCCTAACGAAGACCATAGCCAACCTGCGCTGATGGCAACAGCGTCCTTCACTGTCATCAGATTCCGCTGCCCTCGCTGTCCCCGTTGTTTGATGCTTCAACCTTAAAGCTATGTACTTGGGTCTGCTTTGTGACGATTGCGAATGGAGATTTGTACATGGGACGTCCAAAGTTTACTGTGAACCCACTCACTGAATCAAAATATCAACTGGATGACTTCCCGTCGCAATCTACGACCCTCCCAGAAGTTGTTTTACACCCCCTAGATCTAAATTTTTTATCAAAAAAAATATTTTTTCTGAAACCTCCCGGCAATAGCTCTCACATGAGCTGGTTGGAATCTTAATCGCTGTCTTAATTTAAGACTGAGAGAGGTCTAAAAAGTGCTCTAAATCGCGACGGGAAGTCCTCCACTGTCTTCCAATTTTGGAATTTTACCTTGAGCGGCTTTTAGAAAGGTGAGATCATCACCAGGTGCGGAGGTGATGGTTTTCCTTTCGTTCCTCCTTCCAATCATTATTGACCCCAGGTTGCATGAAGCAGAAATAAAAGCTGTCAAGAACTGGAGGCCAAGACACTTGAACTGGCATGCATTTTTACATCTGCATGAGGGTGATTGCTGAAAAAGTGACAACGAGGTACATACCAATGATACCATGCCAAGTTTCTGAATAGCAAGATCTGTTCAAGGTGATCAGCATTGTAGGTGAGAAGAAAAGGCTTCAAAAGTGGAGCAAGCTAGAGTTCATATGTGCATACTCAAAATTTTGGGGTTGATCAAATTAAGAAGCTTGGCTCAGAGTCAATTGATGGCAGAAGGTGAATTGCACTTGCCACTGGCAACACCACAACCATTACACCAAATTAGGTCAGCACCCATAAAAAATTAGTGAAGCTGATAGTGATCTGTAAAACTGAGTATAGGGCCCAGATGGCCTAGTGGTAACCATCACCTGCAGAAACTTGGTGTCACACCTGCTATGAAACAGTAGAATTTTCTCAAAGAGAAAAACATCCTGGTGTTCAAATCCTAGCAGCCTCAACCCCTGGCCAGTACCCCTTTAAACTGCAATTTCCTCACCATCTATTAGAGTTTCAGCCTATGCCCAAAGGATCAAAGCTTGTTTATCTGCTTCTCATCTCATTCTATTTCATTACTGTGAGCTGCTTGGATCTCAATTATTCCCCTTCTCCATGCTTGTATTTATTTGGTTCCTACCTGAAATACAAACCTGCCTCAATTCCAAGCCCATAACAGTGAGACCTGCTCTACTGGAGAATGTTTCTCTGCTGTTCTGATTCCTTGAGAAATTTTTTATCCTGTTCTCTCTTGGCCTCAGGACAGATTGCTTTCATCCCCCATCTTCACTAAGTACATAGTTAAATACAACAGATTGAATTTAGCAAGATAGGTACATCCTACAGAGCTTGACATCATTACAAGTGCTGCAATTGTTAGAATTTAAAAAGATTGTAGGTAGATATCATCAACATTGAGCCATTATGATTCATTGAAATACTTGAGACCAAACATCCATCTGGACACCACATTATACATCATCATGTTGGAAGTTCAATATTACATTACAAAATGTATATGTATTGACATAAATATACATAAAATCATCTCACTCTACCTAAATTTTATGATGTATGAAGACTCAGGTAAGCATTGACCAAGCCGGCTTATGTGCCACGTAGCAAAACACTGTTTTACAAGATATTACTGCTGTAAATCACCGGATATGTAGCAGATCAGCCTTATCTTTGACTGAGGATACTCATGTAGTTTGGATCTTTTTTGGGAATCTTGTACTCATATCAGAGATTTTGGCTCTTTCAGGCTGGAAAAATCTCTAACTTGTAAATATATCTATGGTCAAGAAGGGTTGTGGGTTCAATGCCTCAATGAAATACGTTTTTCCAGCAAATAATCTGCATCTACGTAAAAGAATTATACTGATGTAGTCTGTAGCAAAATCTAATTTTTCAGAAGAAGACCCCAATTTGTTCACATATCCAAAACCCATACTTCCCCATATTTACATAAGTAGGCTTGGTTGGGGCTCACCAGGCTCCTACTGTATGACAATGTTATCCAAATGGGGCCTAACATGTTTACTGATATTTCTTTCCTTTTTTTGGTTATTTCTGTCAAAACATTGTCATGACAATTTTAAATAATTTAAAATGCAATGCAGGCTTCATCTACCAAAGATAGCCTGTATTGGCTGTTTTGAAGTCCTATTTTTTATCCCTCAACATGATTAATGTTATTGAAACTTTGCAGATTTTATACAACAGGCATGCACCATGACATTTTTTTGTTACTTTACAATGTGTTGCATATGCATGTATCTGTAATGGCCCACTGTTGATATCATAATGTGAAAAATTTGAAATTAAAAGGGTGTGATTATTGATGAAATTTCAACCGTAGACAAGGAAAATTTTTTGGGCAACAAAAAACAAGTTTTTGTTGGAGTGGCTTGAGGGTTGCAAAAAAGAGAGAGAGCCAATGATTTTCATTTGCTAGTAGAGCCTACACATTAAATAGACTACAAACAACAAGTTCAATCTGTGGTTGAGAAAAATTGAATATCAAAATGAATAACAAAGATTTAACATATGCTTGAAAGGATAATTGGAGCAAATTGCAGTTGATAAGACTGGAACAGGGTTCAAAGAATACAAGGATTTCAGCACTAGACAACTTGACAAGATACCATGCAAAGACCTACAAAAAACAATGTAAAAATCACATATATTATTTATCAAATCATCATTAATTTAACAGTGAGATAGATCAGTTTTTTAGGGATGAGGAGAGAAGAGACAAAATTCCAACAATTATACTTTGAAAAAAGAGTTGACTGTGTAGATTTGAGAACAGCAAATCATGAATTATTTTGACTGGGGTTATGTAAGCAGGCCCAGGGCAGAAATTGCTTATAAATTTATCTTTTGACATATATGCTTCAAGTTTTAGCATCACTATCTGTTTGTCAGATTGAGATACCTCAAACAACCACTGAATTTCCATGCTATTAGCTTTGTGTGCAACAGAAACCTACTGATACTAAATTATGTTAAATTATGTATATTCAGTGGCCAGTCACAGCTACTGAATGGTACTCTGCAGCTAAAAATACACTTTTTAACTGTTATTGCAGCTCAGGCAGGGTCAAAATGTAACCGATGGCACCCATAGATATCAAATCACAGATTGTTTTCTGTTAAATATAATATAAATTATAATAGTTGCACTTTTTCTATTCACATGGCCTTCTTTTGTGTCTGACTTTCATAGAGACTCCTTCAATTAGGGTAGTATAACAGACATTTCAGAGTACTTCCCAGATAGAGGGGGCTTTTGAATTTCTCTGAACAGCCAAATCAAAAGTCTGAAACATCTTGTAGATCAGGGTATTGAAGAAGGCAGCATGGATCTTGAATATGTGAGAGCTGATAAAGGGGGGACTTTAAGATTTTAATACCTCACTGTGGTC